TCACACTGATGTTGGTTCACTGGAAGGAATTATTGATTCTTTGTCGTGTACTGTGGAAGAATTACCAGATCTGGCTAAACAGAGAATTACTACATTAGAATGTAATATATTCCTTTATAATTTCATTACTTTAGAAATTCACTAAATTCTATATTTCCAGTTTACGATACCACTCCTAGAACAGTCCTTTTACCGGATTAATTATATATAGTCAATAAGAATACATAAAAAGAAAAAGATAACACAAACTTTACAAGAGTATCTTAGATAATTATTGTCATTAAATAAAATTCGCATTTATATAAATACTATTCCTAGTCAAGACGTAAAAACTCTCTAGTTACCTCTTTGTATATACAGACATCTACGTCCGTATACATAAACCTTACTAAAATCAGAAAAGGTGGCTTACAATAAAACAAGCATCATAAATTACGTTCTGTTAAATTAAACCTAAAAGTAAACTATAGCATTTCATCAGGTTTAAACACGTTATATCTATATATTCTATAGATTTTAAATTCTATATTTCCATTTTATTATGTCATTCTTAGAATGGTCCCTTTACAAAGTTAATTATATCTAACCAGAAAATGGATGAAAAATGAAAAATACACGATAAATCGAATTTTGTAAAAAATATTACGATTATGTGAAAGTGTTTTAAGTGAGGAATGTTCAGTGTAAGTGATAATATATAATATTGAAACACATAAACATTGGTTTAATGGTATAATAATTATGTGTTTGTAACCATAAAACAAAAATGAATATCACATCGAAGACAGAGTCGACTTTCTCAATATACACAAGACCTGAATATTGACAACTTATTCGGCTAGTTTTGATACAGAGTGTCTCTATAAAAACATGTTCTTAGATGAAACTATACACTTGTACACATACCTTTTATACCAGAATACAAAAATAATAGAATTATATTCCATAAGCATTGTTTTTAAGACACTCACAAATTTTCCACCCAGGAACATCATTTCAAATTTGATAATACTTTGTGCAGACAAGAAAATGTTACTATTACAGGATAAAGTTTATCACTCACTCACTAAGTTATTCCTTTCACAGCTGACTTGATGAATGTTCTTCTTCGTTTATACCAATATACTATAGAAGATAAGTGGATGATAGTTTCTTTCTTGTTAAAGATGTATAATGATGTTGATCTGAAGTTATCGTATCTGAATATGGCGCCATCTACTGGTGGATACAAAGGCACTAAAATATTGAAGAACTGAGGTGAAGATGGGAAATATGTTGAATAGAAGAAATACTGTTATGGTTTTTATTATTATAACTTTTAAAAATATCCTGTTTATTTAAGAGCATTATAAATTTGAAACTGACAAAAATCTTTGTGATTCTCAATACTGATAATTTCCATTGTATGTTA